GTAAAATGTTGGTTTTTTTATTTCTTTAAAACTGTCTTCTGAGGCCCCGGCCCCACGGCTGAGTGGTTAAGTTCACATGCTCCGCTGCGGCAGCCCAGGGTTTCGCCAGTTCGAACCCTGGGCACGGACATGGCACTGCTCATCAGGCCATGCTGTGGTGGTGTCCCACATGGCACAACTAGAAGGACTCACAACTAAAGTATACAGCTATGTACCAGGGGGATTTGGGGAGAAAAAGGAAAAATAAAATCTTTAAAAACAAAAACAGTGGCCGGCTCTGTGGCCGAGTGGTTAAGTTCGCACGCTCCACTGTGGCAGCCCAGGGTTCGGATCCTGGGCGCGGACATGGCACTGCTCATCAGGCCACGCTGAGGCGGCGTCCCATATCCCACAATTAGAAGGACCTGCAACTAAGATATACAACTGTTTACAGGGGCGGTTTGGGGAAATAAAGCAGAAGGAAAAAAAAAAAAAGATTGGCAACAGTTGTTAGCCCAGGTGCCAATCTTTAAAAAAAAAAAAAAGGAAGATTGGCAACAAGTTGTTAGCCCAGGTGCCAATCTTTAAAAAAAAAAAAAAAACTGTTTTCCTTATGCAGTTGAAGTCAAATTACAGATTTTCTATCAAACCCTCAGTGACCTTTTACATATTTATGCGCTATCCATGACACTTTCTTTTTTCTTTCTTTTTTTTTTTGAGGAAGATTAGCCCTGAGATAACTGCTGCCAATCTTCCTCTTTTTGCCGAGGAAGACTGGCCCTGAGCTAACATCTGTGCCCATCTTCCTCTACTTTATATGTGGGATGCCTACCACAGCATGGCTTGCCAAGCAGTGCCATGTCCGCACCCGGGATCCAAACCTGCGAACACCGGGCCACCGAAGCGGAACATGTGCACTTAAGCACTGTACCACCAGCAGGCCCCACCATGACACTTTCTTGATGTTATCTCTGCACTTTTGACAAACCCCTAGCAGTTAACTTATAGGATAGGTAAGACTTTTGTTCAAACAGAATATAGCTAGAATGGTGGTCAGATAGTCAACAGAACAAATAATTGCTGCGCATTTACTGAAAGGAAGATGGAAAGCATAATTATAGATAGTATCCCCCTGCCACCATAAAAAAAAAGACTTAGGGGCCAGCCCGGTGGCACAGTGGTTAAGTTGGCACATTCCGCTTTTCAGCGACCCAGGGTTCGCTGGTTCAGATCCTGGATCTGGACTTGGCACTGCTTGGCAAAAGCCATGCTGTGGTAGGCGTCCCACATACAAAGTAGAAGAAGATGGGCATGGATGTTAGATCAGGGCCAGTCTTCCTCGGCAAAAAGAGGAGGATTGGCAGTAGTTAGTTCAGGGCTAATCTTCCTCAAAAAAAAAAAAAAAGACAAAAAAAATAAACATCCAAAACTATTATAATAGAAGATAAGAAAACACAACCAAAGCAGTAAATAGTAAGGACTACAGAAGGGGAGAAAGAGGAAATAGATATCAGCATGAACTGAATATGACCAGAAGAGCCTTGAGGGATGGTCAAACATGGAAAAACAGATTGGGGACAGGGTAAAGGGGCACATTCCATGTGGGAAAACCTGCTGATGCAGAAGCCTGAAAGAAAACGGGGACTCAGTATCTTTAGAGGATTATTCAGAAATTGGCATGTATGCATGTAAGTAAACAACTAGTAAGGTACCATTTACTCAATCCCTACAGAAACTGCATAAGGCTGCTTCTTGGTAAACACGAAGAAGACAGGGCCTGGCATGTAGAAGAGCTCAAAAAAATTGAGGAATAAGGGGAAAAGTTAAAGAAGAGGTCAAACATTTCTTTCTACAATTTACTACATAATTTACAAATCACAAACACAGCAGACAGGTCCTGGCATTTGAAATCCAATCCCATTTTTTCCTTGCTCTTTCCTCTCTAAGAAAATACCATCAACATAAGTAATCCAGGTAGATTTATCAAAACACTCATCCATGCTTAAAAAGACTTTATCTAAAAGATACCCACTGAAATACTTTACAGATGAAGTCATATGTCTGGAATCTGCATCAAAATAATCCAAAGTGGAGTACAGATGAAATAAGATGGGCCAAAAGTTTCATTGCTGAGGCTGGGTACATGGAAGTTCTTCACACTATTCTACTTTTGTATATGTTTGATGTTTTTCCATAATAAAAAGTTGACACACATTTCTATCCACTGAGCATCGACCATGATACTCATCTTCTGATAATGTCTATCATAATTCACTAGCATCTCAATTTGAATAGTTTCTACTAGTTTTACCATTATACTAATCCCCACCAAAACCTCCCTTCGCTGGGTGTCTCTAATTCATTCTTGTTTCATTTCCTAATCTAGGTCATCACTCAATATCTTTGTGTGCAGCAGACTCCTACCAGCCTCCAGTAAGGTTCTTGATGGGGCACTGTTGGCATTTGAGGTGGGATAATTCTTTGTTGTGGCAGACCGCCCGAACGTTATAAGACGTTTGGCATCCCTGTACCCTTGGCACTAAATGCTAGCACAACACCACCACCACTCCACCCCCACTGGGATAAGCAGAACCTCACACACATTTTCTAATGCCACCCAGAGTAGAGCATCGACGACTCCTAGTCCTGGACAGCAAACACATTTTCCCAACTTACCTGACTAACTTAGTAGTTCTCCACAGCTTACTACAAGTTCAGTCTCCTGTCATTTTAACTAGCTCTACCTTTTCCCCATCTTCTAACAGAATAATCACCACTCAGGCCAGCCGGTCTCCTTATTATCACCTACCTCATGCTCACTACTACTTTCTGTTCCCTATTCGTAGAAAATCTCCTTCACCAGCCTATATCCTGGACTTCTCAAGTCTCATCATAACTTCTCCACTCCTAAGCAAACCACATTTTCTCAAGCTTTGGTGTCTCTTTTGGATAGAGCTTCCTTTGCCTGAAATGCCCTTTCACTCCCTTCTAAAAGCCTAGGCACCTGTGAAAGCCCAACTCCACTGTCAGCGTCTCCTCAAAGCCTTCCTTGAAGCGACCCCTCCCCCAGCCCCGGTCAAAATTAACTGCTGTCTTCAGCTTTCATAATGATACCATAGAACTTGGTCACACCTTGTTGTATAAAACTCTTCTCCCAAGAAGACTGAGTTCTGAAAGCAAAGACTACTCTGCTCAGTTCTGCAAAACCAGCGCCTAGAATAGAACACTTACATGTTCAATAAGTGAATTCTGTCCTCAGTACAGCACTTGACTGTACCAGGTTTTCAGGTTTTGTTTTTTGGGTTTTTTCCCGGAAATACACACCTACTACCCCAGATATTCTGAAAACTATTTTAATGCTAATTATCCGAACTTCAAGGGCTTTGCAAACTCCCGAGTACCAGGCACACTGTAGTCACCTGAATCCCCACTGACTTAACCCAAGGGAGTTGACGCCAGACTTGGTTTTAGCCGTATTTACAGAGAAACATGAAACTACAATCTTGACTCCTGATACAATAAGGAGTATATTCTGCAGTTTGGACCAATACCCTAAATCAATTTCACAATGAACAGCCTCATTATACAGTTCTATGAAAAAACTTATTTAACACTTGTTATTTTACCAAGCCTTGGGTTTCTAACGACCTTTCAGTTTAAACCAAAGAGTGAGCTTTAGTGTCTTTTCGGATTTGTGACATAAAATGGTCTTTCTGGGCAGGAGACTTGGGCACGTATCTCCATCCCCTGCTCCGGACATTAAAGGCTCACAGCCGGGAGGGGCTGCCTAGACAGACACCCGCCACGCCACCTGCCGCAGCCGAGGTACAATGCGCCTTTGGGAAGCGCGTTAGCGCACGGCCAGGCCGGCAGGAAGGGGGTAATTCGAACAGTACCAGAGGCTGCATTCTAAACTTTTTTTCCTCACATGCGTCAGTTTCCAGTGTTCGTTTTTCCTTAAACACAAACTTAAAAGATAATTGGGTGAATAAGCGGGACCAGGGAAACCTGACAGAAGAACGAGGCGTTAAAACTTGACGGCCTTTCCCCGTCGCCACCGGGGCTCAAACAGCAGCAAGAGCCGAGCCGCCCGGCCACGACCCTGGGGCAAGCCAGCTGTGGGCTGTCATGGCGAGCCGGCGAGGGCTCCGGCCGCCGTCGTCTCCCACCTCGGGGAGCGGCGACAGGGGCCGAGAGGGGCCAGCAGCCCCAAAGCCGAGCCCCGCGGGAACAGCCGGAGAACGCGCCGGCCGCCTCCTCCCACCCCGCTCTCACGCAGTCGCCGCAGAGCCTGGCCCGGGCCCCTCGCCGGGGAAAGGGGGGCCGAGAGGCCTCTCCGGGGAAGGCTCCCCTTTGTCCGGGGACTCGGGGCCCCCGTTTCTGCCCTCGCCGGCCCTAGCGGGGCTGCGCCCGGGCGCCTCACCGTGATGTTGCAGTGTAGGGTGAGCGGCGGCGGCGGCGAGTGCGGGCTGCCTGGCGGCGCGGGCGGCGGCACCAGGAACTGGCAGTGCAGCTCGTCCAGCTTCCAGCTGACGATGCGGAATCGCTCGTGGTTCTTGTCGAAAATGGACGCCAGGAACTTCAGCTCGGCCTTGAGCCCTGACACAGACATCTTCCCCTCATCTCCGGCGGGAGGGGTGTGGAAGGGGAGCCGGGCCCAGAGCCGCCGTCACGGCCGCGACCGCCCCGCGGGGACGGCCCGGGCCGCGCTCCCGGGGCTCCGCCTCTCCCTGCCGCTGCGGCCTGGGTCGGATCGCGGCTGGAAAATGGCGAGGGGCGCCGAGGCCTTGGCGGGCGGCTGTGCGACGGCCTGCGCGGCTGCTCCCTTTGTAACTGACTCCACCGGCAGGAGGTGTCGGCCCCGCGGCTTAAAAGGGCAACAACGACACCGCCCCCGCTACCGCCTGGGAAAGGGCTGCCCCCACCCCACCCCCATCCCCATCCCCTCCCCCATCCCCTCCCCGCCCCGGCGCGCCCTGCGCGCCCCTGTTCTGGCGCGTGCACGTAGCTGGCGCGCGCCCCCGCCTGGCCGCCCCCTCCTCGCCGGGACCCAGCCCCTTCCGCCCAGCTCATCTGCTCGCCTCCTCGCTCCCGCGGACCCAAGGCTCAGAGCCAGCCGGTGCCCCGGGCCCTGGTCACCGGGAAGAGCCAGAGGCCTCCGCGCGCCCCTACTCCCCGCCTGGGCCAGACACGTGCGCAGCATATAGCTCCGGCCACGTCGGCGCGGCGGCGGGTGAGTGCCGGCCCCGGGGAGCGGCCCCTTCCCAGGCTCTGAGGGAGCCACCCGCTCACCTGACTCAGGCGGGGCCCTGGTGGGAGACCCCGGCTTGTGGGCTGCCGGCAGCACTTTGGACCGAAATTGGCCCACCTAGCTTCATCTCCGTTACTCTCAACCTAGTCCGAGCCACCACTTCTCTAGCCTGAGTTTCCGCCAAGACCTCTCCGGACTCTGCTCCCTCCCTGCTTTCGAACCATCGTTTTACGGAAGATGATGATTCGGCCCCTGCCAGCCGCTCCCTCCCACCTCCCATAATTTTATTCTTCCCCTTATCCACTACCTCTGTTCACTCAGACATTCATTTTCTCTCTCTCTCTCTCTCAACTGCCTTGAGGTTTTGCCCTGTTTCCCAAGCTTAAGATAACCGTCTCCACCTCCCATGGAGACAGGGCTGGCTTATTTTCAGTCAAGTGTTAGCTCTAATGTCATCTCAGAGAGGGCCTCTCTGACCACCCCATCTGAAATAGTTACCCAGTCACCCTGTATCACATCATCCTATGTTAATGTTTTGCTCAGCACATATCACGTCTGATATTTTTCCTATTTGTTCATTGTCTCTGCCCAATACGAATGTCTTATTCATATCCCCAGGGCCTAGAACAAGGTCTTTTATACAGTAGGCACACAATGTTATTGAATGAATGCTCCTATCTGGAAACCACAGCACTTAACACAATCCCTGGCACATTCTAGGCGCTCCAAGAATGGATAAAGGACTGCATGGCAGACCAAAGGAATACAACATAATTGGGCAGGCAATTAATTGTGTGTTTAGTAATATGTACTAGAGGTAGGACCAATTTCATGGGTGTGCAACCTGTTGTTGCACAGGGTTCCTAGCTTAGAAGGGCCTTGTGCTTGGTTTAATACTCTGCTGTAGTCACTTTGAAATTCTTAATAATTTTTCTGGAAGGGGCTCTGCATTTTCCTTTTACACTGGTCCTGACTAGAAGTACCTAGCCCTCTCTGGTGCCTAAATGTCTTCTGCTTCATGACCTACAAGTGGTCCCTGCTGTACTGGTCCCATAGATGCGAAAATACAGAACAACACAGGGAGATAAGTCCACTGAATGAGAAGCATTTATAAATATTTTATTTTCATTTACTTCTGAGATATTGTAACATGTTATAATGCTTCTTAGCCTTTCATGGGGGTCATGGACCCCTTTGGGAATATAATAAAAGTTATGATCCATCCTCCCAGGAAAATACCTCTGCATATAAAGTGTTGTATTTGTGGGGATTCAACTGGGACTGGGAGGAGAAGGGGTGTCAGTCCTGAGCTCTGAGCCAGAAATAACTAGGATGCTGTACTGGCATTATTGCTGGGTTAAGTGCGGGAGTGGCTTGCTGCTTTCTTTTTCCATCAGTCCCCAGTACTCTTGGGACCCTAACAGCCATGGCAGTCACAGACAAGGATTTGAGACAAAGGGGAACAACCTGTTCAGAATTTGGTATGACTTTGGGAAATAAAATGCCCTGACCAAGTTATTTAATCTGTCTAAGCTTTATTTGGTTATCTCTAAATTGCTATGAGAAAAATAAAGAGCTTTATAAATTGCAAATGCTTTCACTAGTTATATCTCAAATATATATATAAATATTAACTTTGAAATAGTTTTTTGAGCATGTGCTGTGTGTCAAGTTCTAAGAGAGCTAGGAAGATAAATAGATATAGTCCCTGAATTCAAGAAGCTTGAAGCCTCGCGTTGGAAACAAAACACTGTTTCCTGGTAATTTAGGCTGCAAATTACAGAAAATCATGACTTAAAGTGGCTTGGACAATAAGGAAATGTATTGCTCCACGTAATGGGAAGTCAAGAAGCAGGGCAGGCTCCAGAACTGGTTGATTAGAGCTTCAATAATATCAAGAGCCCAGATTCTTTCCATCTCCTTTGTCAGGCCGAGGTACAAGCAAGGGAGCTACAGCAAGGGAGATATAGCTGTGCTTGCAGGTCACATCCAGACATGACAATACCCAGAGTCAGAAAGGACTCTTTGTTCTTTGTCTCCTTCCAAGACGTGGGGACTTTTCCAAGAATCCACCCAACTGGCTTCCTCTCTGTCATTGGCCATAAATGTGCCACATGTACACTCCTAAACCAATCACAGGTAAATGGATGGCATCACTCACTGGACTTCCAACCATCTGGGACAGAAGGGATATTGGGGAATCTAATACAATGTCTACTACAGACACATAAATAAAAACAACATCAGATCACATATGATAAGAGGTTCAAACTTTGGAACTACTACATATCAAGGGAGGAAGAAATTAACTCCAGAAACTATCTGCATAAAAGTATGGCCATGTTCAGGGAACATCCAAGAGCCCAGTTGATTATACAGTACAGCAAGGAGCCAAGAAGAAGATAAAGTTGAGATGTTATGTAAGACCTGATTTTGGAGCCCTGAAATACCAAGCCAGAGATTGCAGTTTCATTCAGTGAAAGGCATCACTTTTAAAAACCCAGCGTTAGTGTACAAAATAGATTGCGATGGGTTTGAAACTGTGATGTAGCTACCAAGAAGAGGTGGGAAACCCAGATTCTAGATCTGGCCTGCCATTAATTCAATGGGACAAGTCACATCCAGCTCTGAGGTTCTCCAGCTCCAAACAATATTGGATTGGTCCAGGTCAATAGTGAGAAACACTGAAGTAGGAGAAGTGGCAGTGGGAATGAAAAGGACTACACTGATTCTAGGAATATTTCTGAGGTAGAACTGCTAGATCTTAGAGTCGATGCAGGAATACAGGGAGAGAGAAGTGTTGTTTTATTTAAAGTAATACTTTGAAGTTTCTAGAACAGGTGTCTGGGAAGGAGTGATACTATTGACACAGCCAGAGAAAGATGAATTTGAGGTTCTGATGGGACTTCAGGTAGAGAAGTTATGTTATAGGTCTGGAGTTTACAAGGGAAGTCGGAGCGAGGGACATATAATTGTGGGTCAGCCACATGGGGTGATGGTGGAAGCCATGGGCATATGATCATTGAGTCATAGGGGTTAGAAGACAACTTGGGCCATTGAAGGAACCCTGAGGAAGCCCCACCATTGGTGGTTTAGTGGGAAAGGAATCATCAGAGGGGCCAGAGGATGACCTATATGTCGAATTATCTGTGGAAAGGATAAGAAAGATCAGGACCAAGAAAAAGCCATAGGGTCAAGGCATTAGGAAGTCAACGTTGTTTTAGAAAAGAACCATTGCAATAGAATGTTGGACATGGGATGGAAGTGAAGACAGTATATGTAGATTACATCCTTGAAAGCTTTCAGAGTGGTGAGACAGAGAGATGCAACAGTCATTTGCAGTAGCAAAGCAAAGGGAAGCTTTAGGGTTTTGTTGTGTTATTATAGTGCAGACAGACGTGGATTTACTTTGAAGCTTAAACTTCAGAGCCCCTTACACTTGCACAGACCCCTTCTAAATAAATATTAACTGGGGCTAGTCCCAGTGGCCTAGTGGTTAAGTTTGGCACGCTCCTCTTCAGCAGCTGATGTTCGGTTCCCAGGTGCAGACCTACACCACTCTGTTAGTGGCCATGCTGTGCTGGCAGCCCACATACTAACACAGGAAGATTGGCATGGATCTTAGTTCAGGGTGACTCTTCCTGAGCAAAAATAAATAAATAAATAAATATTAACATTTGTTCCTAAATTGGCATTTGTAATTTTGTATTCTTTTTCTTTTTTATTTTATTTTATTGCAGTAACATTGGATTATAACATTATATAGCTTTCAGATGTACATCGTAATATATTTTGAATTCTGTGTAGATTACATCATGTTCACCACCCAAAACTAATTATAGTCCATCCCCTCACATGTGAGCCTAATCACCCCTTTTGCCTTCCCCATTTACCCCTTCCCCTGTGGTAACCATCAATCCAATCTCCGTCGCTATGTGTTTGTTTGTCATTGTTTTTATCTTCTCCTTATGAGTGAGATCATACAGTATTTGACTTTCTCCCTCTGACTTATTTCACTTCACATAATACCCTCAAGGTCCATCCATATTGTCACAAATGGCCAGATTTCATCACTTCTTATGGCTGAGTAGTATTCCATTGTGTGTATATACCACATCTTCTTTATCCATTCATCCCTTGATGGGCACCTTGGTTGCTTCGGTGTCTTGGCTATTGTGAATAATGCTGCAATGAACATAGGGGTGCATGTATCTTTATGCCTTTGTGTTTTCAAGTTCTTTGGATAAATTATCCAGCAGTGGAATAGCTGGATCATATGGTAGATCTATCCTTAATTTTCTGAGGATACTCCATACTGCTTTCCATAGTGGCTGCACCAGTTTGCACTCCCAGCAGCAGTGTACGAGGGTTCCCTTCTCTCCACATCCTCTCCAACACATGTTTTCTGTCTTGTTAATTATAGCCATTCTGACTGGAGTGAGGTGATATCTCATTGTAGTTTTGATTAGCACTTCCCTGATAGCTAATGACGTTGAACATCTTTTCATATGCCTGTTGGCCATCCCTATATCTTCTTTGGAGAAATCTCTGTTCAGATCTTTTGCCCATTTTTTAATTGGATTGTTGGTTTTTTTTGTTCTTGAGGTATATGAATTCTTCGTATATTTTAGATATTAACCCCTTATCTGATATATGGTCTGCAAATATCTTCTCCCAATTGTTAGGTTGTCTTTTTTCCGTTTGTTGATGGTTTCCTTTGCTGTGCAGAAGCTTTTTAGTTTGATGTAGTCCCATTTGTTCATTTTTCCTTTTGTTTCCCTTGCCCGGTCAGACATGGTACTTGAAAATATGCTGCTAAGACTGATGTCAAAGAGTGTGCTGCCTATGTTTTCTTCCAGACGTTTCATGGTTTTGGGTCTTACATTCAAGTCTTTAATCCATTTTCAGTTGATTTTTGTGCATGGCGTAAGGTAATGGTCTACTTTCATTCTTTTGCATGTGGCTGTCCAGTTTTTCCCAAC